TGCCGTCTATAAAATTTTTCCCTTGAGCTTCAGTGGCCTACGACGGTCACACAACACGCCGGATGCACTCTTACACTTCATCCATCCAGCTCGTATTTTATGGTTGAGATCTCCATCTAATTCTCCGTTCTCTTGCAAGATAGATCCTAGGTAGCGAAAATGGTCACTTTTTGTGATCTTCGCTAGATTGCTCCGGTCATTAGTGTGGATAAGTATATAAATGGATAGAGATAAGAAAGCAAACACAAGATGTACGTGGTTCACCCAGATTGGCTACGTCCACGGAATAGAAAAGTTCTCATTAATTGTGAAGGGTTTACACAAGTACATAGGTTCAAGCTCTCCTTTAGTGAGTACAAGTGAATGATTTAGTACAAATGACATTAGGAAATATTGTGGGAGAATGATCTCGTAATCACGAAACTTCTAAGTATCGGAGTGTGGTGTCGTCTTGACTTGCCTTATCTGTCTCATAGGTAGATGTGGCATCTTCTCTGGAAGTACTTTTCCTCCATCCAGGGGTGGTATCTTTAACTGGTGGAGATGCACAAGGTAATGTATCAATTTCACTTGAAGCTTACTTGTAGTTTCAGGCTTGGTCAAGCGCGATACAAACCATGTAGTAGGAGTCCCCCAAGTCGCCGAGCTAGGAGGTCTACTGAAAGAGGTGACAGACAAGGGAAGCAATCAGAGCTCCGACTGATTGTTCACCTTCTCCCCATCTTGCAACAGCATGAAGGATAAAGAGAAGAAAAATGAGAAGAGATGATATGAGATACTTTTGCTTTTGAAGAAGTAACTTTCCACAGGCTTATTCTTGAACTGAGCTGGAGGGTTTTCTGGTTTCCTTCAGAGTATAAGGCCGACTGAAGAATTTGAGGGTCAAAACAAGTCCATCAAATCTAGAGTACGTTCCACCCTGCTGATATGGGATACTTTTGCTTTTGACAGAGTAATGGATGTATCGGCACGTGTGCTGTTACGCTTGTCTCCACATGCTTCCTTGTATCCTTCGCACTTGCCCTATCTGTTCCTCAAGCAGATGCAGAATCTTCCCTGGAAACATAAGATGTTGAAGATGAGTACTCGAGAGCAATGCCAGGTAAGTAATCAGGTAAGGGGTTCCAGGCAGTCAGTTCCTGGCTGGAAGCTTGATTCCAAGTGCTGACTGATTGCTCTCTTTCTCCTTGTCTTGCACATGTTCAAACCACCGTAACCGATTTTCTCTCATCTTTCCTTCAATTTCGGCTACTCCTACTTTACCCCGGATATCCTCATTCCTAATCTTATCCTTTCTCGTGTGCCTACACATCCAACGAAGCATCCTCATCTCCGCTACACCCATTTTGTGTACGTGTTGATGTTTCACCGCCCAACATTCTGTGCCATACAACATCGCCGGCCTTATTGCCGTCCTATAAAATTTTCCCTTGAGCTTCAGTGGCATACGACGGTCACACAACACGCCGGATGCACTCTTCCACTTCATCCATCCAGCTTGTATTTTATGGTTGAGATCTCCATCTAATTCTCCGTTCTTTTGCAAGATAGATCCTAGGTAACGAAAACGGTCGCTATTTGGTATTTCTTGATCTCCGATCCTCACCCCTAATTCGTTTTGGCCTCCATTTGCACTGAACTTGCACTCCATATATTCTGTCTTTGATCGGCTTAGGCGAAGACCTTTAGATTCCAACACTTCTCTCCAAAGGTTAAGCTTTGCATTTACCCCTTCCTGAGTTTCATCTATCAACACTATATCGTCTGCGAAAAGCATACACCAAGGAATATCATCTTGAATATGTCCTGTTAACTCATCCATTACCAACGCAAAAAGGTAAGGACTTAAGGATGAGCCTTGATGTAATCCTACAGTTATAGGAAAGCTTTCGGTTTGTCCTTCATGAGTTCTTACGGCAGTCTTTGCTCCTTCATACATATCCTTTATAGCTTGGATATATGCTACTCGTACTCATTTCTTCTCTAAAATCCTCCAAAGAATGTCTCTTGGGACCCTATCATACGCTTTTTCCAAATCTATAAAGACCATGTGTAAATCCTTTTTCCCATCTCTATATCTTTCCATCAATCTTCGTAAGAGATAGATTGCCTCCATGGTTGAGCGCCCTGGCATGAACCCGAATTGGTTGTCCGAACCCGTGTCTCTTGCCTCAATCTATGCTCAATGACTCTCTCCCAAAGCTTCATTGTATGACTCATTAGCTTAATACCCCTATAGTTCATGCAATTTTGTACGTCGCCCTTATTCTTGTAGGTAGGCACCAAAGTGCTCGTTCGCCACTCGTTTGGCATCTTCGTTTTCAAAATCCTATTGAAAAGGTTAGTGAGCCATGTTATACCTGTCTCTCCCAAAAGTTTCCACACTTCGATTGGTATATCGTCTGGGCCTATTGCTTTTTTATGCTTCATCTTCTTCAAAGCTACAACCACTTCTTCCTTCCGGATTCGACGATAAAAAGAGTAGTTTCTACACTCTTCTAAGTTACTCAACTCCCCTAAAGAAGCACTCATTTCATGTCCTTCATTGAAAAGATTATGAAAATAACCTCTCCATCTGTCTTTAACCGCGTTTTCTGTAGCAAGAACCTTTCCATCCTCATCCTTGATGCACCTCACTTGGTTTAGGTCCCTTGTCTTCTTTTCCCTTGCTCTAGATAGTTTATAGATATCCAACTCTCCTTCTTTGGTATCTAGTCGTTTATACATATCGTCGTAAGCCGCTAACTGAGCTTCTCTGACAGCTTTCTTCGTCTCTTGCTTCGCTTTTCTATACCTTTCACCATTTTCATCGGTCCTCTCCTTGTATAAGGCTTTACAACATTCCTTCTTAGCCTTCACCTTCGTTTGTACCTCCTCATTCCACCACCAAGATTCCTTTTGGTGTGGGGCAAAGCCCTTGGACTCTCCTAATACCTCTTTTGCTACTTTTCGGATACAACTAGCCATGGAATCCCACATTTGGCTAGCTTCCCCCTCTCTATCCCACACACATTGGGTGATTACCTTCTCTTTGAAAATGGCTTGTTTTTCTTCTTTTAGATTCCACCATCTAGTCCTTGGGCACTTCTAAGTCTTGTTCTTTTGTCTTACTCTTTTGATATGTACATCCATCACCAACAAGCGATGTTGATTAGCCACGCTCTCTCCTGGTATAACTTTGCAATCCTTACAAGTTATACGATCCCCTTTCCTCATTAGAAAAAAATCTATTTGTGTTTTTTGACGACCCACTCTTGTAGGTGATCACATGTTCTTCTCTCTTCTTAAAGAAGGTGTTGGCTAAGAAGAGATCATATGCCATTGCAAAATCCAAGATAGCTTCCCCATCCTCGTTTCTCTCCCCAAAACCATGGCCACCATGAAAACCTCCATAGTTGCCTGTCTCCCTGCCCACGTGTCCATTTAAATCTCCTCATATAAATAACTTCTCCGTCTGAGCAATTCCTTGCACCAAGTCTCCAAGATCTTCCCAAAATTTCTCCTTCGAACTCGTATCCAACCCTACTTGAGGTGCATACGCACTAATCACATTGATAAGTTCTTGTCCTATTACAATCTTGATTGCCATGATTCTATCTCCTACCCTCTTGACATCTACAACATCTTGTACCAAGGTCTTGTCCACGATGATGCCAACACCGTTTCTCGTTTTATTTGTGCCCGAATACCAAAGTTTAAACCATGAGTTTTCTAGATCCTTTGCCTTACTACCAACCCACTTAGTTTCTTGTAGGCACATAATATTTATCCTTCTCCTCACCATAACTTCCACTACTTCCATAGATTTTCCCGATAAGGTTCCTATATTCCACGTTCCTAAACGCATTTTGCTCTCTTGAACTCTACCCTTCTGTCCTAGCTTCTTCACCATCCCCCGTCTAATAGGATTAAAGTACTTCTTTTGTGTGTCCCGGGTAAAGTTGATAGGAGCATATGCTCCCAAACAACTTTGAGTGGAGTCGTTCGAAAAGAAGTTTCTATGGCCCCCTTGCTCATTTAACACTGCATCCGGGTGCCGATGGAGATACAGTGACCCTTGCTCACTTATCACTGTGCTCGGGCCACACAGCGCGCCACTTACGGGTGACGCCCTAGCTTTAGCGCGATTTTGTTCTGGATTCATGTTCATAAGGATTCGACGTGATCATGGAGTGCCGGCTGTCGACTACCTGACGCCCTCCCCCTCCTCCTTTATCCGGGCTTGGGACCGGCCATGTAAGACATAGGCGGAGTTACACATAATAATGAACATGTTATTAATTTTTATTCGATTTTAAAAAACAAATACACGTGATATTTTTTATTCGATCAAATTAACAAATAACTATATAAAAATACCTAACTGTTATGAGTACCAATGTATGCCCATTTTGCTTTGGTTGTTAAAATTGAAGGGGAAAGGAACATAGTGAGAGAGAGTGAGGTTGTTCTTTATTTTTATTTTTTAAATTAGAGATGATAAACTTACATGTTTATAAGGTTTAAAAAAAAATTTGTTTTGTGAAATTACGTTACTATCTTAATTTTTTTTTTGTGATAAATATAAAGATATATTTTCACTCATTTTTTATTGACAAAAAAACTTTCATTAATGTAGTTTTAGACTAGCATTTACCCACACACTTTGTGTGTATGAGCACATTTTTTTATAAAATGTGAAGGAGAGAGGAAGAGAGAGAACCGGGGGGGGGGGAGTGAGAGGTTTTTGTTGCTGGTTAATTTTTTTTTAATATTTGAGGTATTTTAACATCACATGTATATGAGGATTCAATCAAAAACAGTAAAATTTGGACCTGTGAAATTATATTATTGCCCATTAATTTTTTTATGTGATACTAAATAGTCTTTTCATCATCTTTTAGTTGACAAAAAAAATTTCATTAATTAATAGAGATTATGCATGAAATTGTTTTACAAAAGTTGAATCCACGTGTTGTAGGGTTGGCGGTGAAGTCACTCCCATAAAATCCTCACACTCCGAAATCCCTTTGATCATTTCATTTTTGCCGCGCTTGGAGTCCAGCCCTTTCTGTCGCTCAACCTCCCAATTTCCAACCCTACTTCTCTCTTTCCACTCCATTTTCCGGCGATGCCTCCCCGTCGTCGAGTAAGATCTCGAATCCGTCTCTCTCTCTCTCTCAAATGAGAAACCCACCGTTTGGCTCTTACGGAGAAACCGTCGAAAGGGAAAGCTCATTTCACTTTCGGTTTTGGTTTCTCAGTAACCAAACGCAGTGATTCAATGTGCTTTTTTTTTCCTTTTTTTGTTCGATTTTAAATATTGTTTTCGAGTGCTGATTTACTGCGTTGATTTTGTCCTCATTTTTTATTTAATTATGTATGGAATTGGATTGAGCAGGGTGCTGTTAGAATAATTTCATGTTGATGTTGTTTATATTAGGGTCTACGCAAGATTGTTTGATTTTCGAAATCGATTACGAATTTCACTAAAAAGAAAATATTCTAATGATTTCAATTGACATCCACATGGGAGTGATGAGATAAAGAATGCCGAAAATATTCAATTTTTGGGTTGTTAGGGATTTTGTTATGGAAGGGCTAAACGTGTTTATGATAACCAAAAGCACTTCTAACTTCGTTTGGGTGAAAAACTTCTGACCCATTAGTGCTTTTTCAAGAATCACCTGGTCTTGAGGGAGCGCTTTCTAGTGCTTTTTCAGGAAGCATTTGGTTTTTTTAATAAAAATTTTGACATGTTTATATTAAAAGTACTTCTAACAGAAGTGTCAAGGAAGTGTTTCCTATAGAAGCAGGTCTCAAACGAGCCCTTTAACTACTTTATTGCAGCTCTCTTAGGGGTTTTCTCTGTACCATCTAATTGCATAAGGGGTTTTGGGTTTTTGTAAAATTGGAGATGATTTTGCATCTTGTATGCAACTTATTTATTTAGTCAATGAACAGTTTATGATTTTGGCGAGCTTATGAGCAAATCAACCTTTGTTTCGTTTTGCAGGATATGAATCCTGCAGTTTTTGTCAATGCAGAGTTGTTGCGATCGTATGTTGGAAGTCGGGTTCGGGCACTGATTCAGGTGGTGCGAGTTGAGGGTGAAACTATCATTGGAAATTCTACTGATGAAAGCCAGCTAGTTGTGAAGGGCATCCCAACGTTTCCTCTTACAAAATTTGTTGAGGTCATAGGCCTTGCTGACAGTGATACGTCCATCCAGGCTGACATGTGGACCAACCTCGGAGAGACAGCTGGTATGCCTCCTTTTTCCCCAGCCTTCTTCAATTTCTACCTAGGGTTCACAATAAATATGTAATTGTTACTGTCGGAAGCTTATGGTGCTTGGATTTGGGATTGGGTGAAGTTGAATCTTTAGAAAGGGGCTTCTGCTTAAAGTTGCCAGAAAACAGTTCATTTTATCGACACTTTTTGGAACCGAAATATACAGTTTCTGCCTAACTGTTAAAAGCAAAATAAACTGGAGCTTAAACATGCATCAACATAACCTTAAAAAGTGAGTTTCCATTCTAATCGCGGGGTATGTTACTTCTTCAAACTGGTTATTTTACATGAAACTTCTATAGAATGCTTGCGTTAATTTAGCATCCCAAAAGCTGTCATCAAACTCTGGTGTTTAATCTTTTGGAACCAATGAACTATGTTCAGAAATAGTTATAAATTTGAGAAACCCGAAATGTACCCCTTCTTTGGTGTCCATGCCACCGTTCATCTTTTTGGTCTATTTAGTGCTTAATCGTTTGGGCATTAGAGTCTATTAGTCCAGGTTCTGTTGCAGGTTCTGATATAATTCAATTTTTACTTCACCTATTTGCAGATACATACACTTACAATCAGCTCTGTCAGATTGTAAATGGGGAATATAAAATCTTGTTCGTCTGAGTTACAACGAGATTCAGTTGTAAGCGGGAATGCGCTTCCTAGTTACATCATGATGGGACAAATAATGTAGTTGGTCATGTAGTTTTAACACTAGATTTCGCAGTTTTTCGAATTTTATGGCAGCGAAGCGATTAAGATCTTCGCTATCTGACATATGCAGAAGTCTCAGATATTCAGATTTTACTAGTCCTTCAAACTTCATGCGATTCATTAACCGCGACATTGCTGTGTTGAGTTTTTTGTTTCATGTTTTGCAGATTCAATACTTTACCCTTCAATTTTTATTTCGACTTCATATTTTTTTGATGCCTTGAGCTGCAAGTTTGCCTAATCTATGCAAATACTGTGAGCTGGGCTGTCTAATTGACGGAGGACTTTGTCCTATCTTTTGCAAACAACGTATTTTCACGGTGTAAATTTTATAATTGAACTTTCAAAATTTTAATGTTTATTTGAAGATCATTGTTATGAATCCATCGTTTCGTCATTAAAAAATGAAATAGAGGGTTTAACATGAATATTTTAACTTACAACGATACAGTCACGGTTGATCATGAATATCTTGAACTCACTACGGTTCATCATGAATATTTTTAAAGGAAAACTAATGAAAATAGTTTGAAAACTTAGAGTTTTAATGATAAGGACAAAAAAAGGGTAAAGTGAATAGTACCAGGTTTGACTTTTTAGTGTAAAAATATGGTTTTTCGTTAAAGTGAACAGTACCGTGGGCTCTTCGTTAAAACTCCCTATTTTTAACTCACTACGGTTCATCATGAATATCTAAGATGTGAAATAATGGGCTGGAAGTCCATAAGTTGTCCATGTCACATAAATTATGGGCCGAAAACCCACAACTACGGCCCAATATCAAAGATTACATATCCAATAACCTTTGAAGATATCCCTGTCGAAAATGCGCAAGACGACACTCAAACCTCAAAAGCGATTCCCTTTTCCTTTTCGTTTTCGTTCGTTGGGTTCGAGCTCAGTAAAAAGCTCAGAGCACCGAGTTAGGGTTTCCAAATTGAACAAATTGGTTCCGCAGCTGAATTAATTGTTCGAATCACCGAACCAGGTACTATCAAAGTCTACACTGTTTTTAATTGGATTTTTCTCTCCAATTTTTGTCTTTTTTTGGGCTTATTTTCGTTGAAATATTCAATTTTCTGTTCTCATTTCTTAATTGGATAACTAAAAATGCAAATGAATGGTTTTTGATTACTTGGGTAGTGTTATTTCTGTGTAGAAATGTAAAGAGGGAACCTGAAAGTAAAATATTTTGCCGAGAAAGGGTTCGAATCGAAACGAATTAAATGTTGGTGGGTTTAGGGAAAAAGAGCCAATGTTAGAAGATTGAAATGCTATTTCCCCAACAACGAAGTTTCCTCTGACGATAATCTATCAGAAAACAAATGACCCTTCAAATGCTCTGCTGTTGTGTGATTATTCATTCCAATAACTAGTCAATATCCAACCATCGTCAGTTGCTATAGCTTGTTGCCCTTTAACTAGAAAGGGCATCCACCTTTTCGTTCCAGAATTCCTTCTGTCTTCATCCTTTGTCTTTTTTGCGAATTCCGCTTACATATTGTCCATTCCTTTCACAACCCAATGTGAGTCTAGGGCTCCTGTTACCTATTCGTGCCCAACCTATTATCATTATATATCTTTTAAGGTCGTTATCGGTCATTTTACAAATGGGAAAACTTGTAATTAAAATTTTAATTAAAAAGTGGGCGGGGAGATAAACACGGGGTGGGAATAACAGCACTCTAGGGAAATTAAGGTAATTTTGGGGTGGTTGGAATTGTTTACAAGTTCTAAAATTTGAGGCATTTAGTTGTTTTTTAATTGGATGGGATTAAGCAAGGGGCTTGTAGCTTGGTCGGTTAATAGCATTCCCCCTTGCTCCGGAGGTCACGAGTTCAATTCCCCCTCTCCCAATATTGCTTGTATAAGAGAAAAAGAAAAAGAAAAAGTGGGATGGGGTTGGGTTTTCATTTTGTTCTCAAGCTTCTGTATAATCTTGCTTTATTGAAAGTAATAGCCGTCTTTATATCGAAGGGAATGCTAGAATCTGAAAATTTCAGTGCTTTGCAACATGTCAGCCTCTTACTGTTTCAGCTGTAATCTACAATGTGTTATCATATATCTATGATTTCCACTATATGTTGTTTGATTTCTTATTCATGTTTTTTTCCTTTTTGTTTTTGTCCTCTTTGTGCATGAACCTCTCCAGATAGATAGATAAACAATTACACCATCCATTTACTGTCAAATGTCGATATCTAAATATTCGAGAAATTCACTGCTTCATTGTTTGTTTCGCCTGCTGAGCATCACCATCCCCTTGATAAATCATGCAGAATTCTTCTGTTGCTGTCTCTTACTATTTTTACAATATAATGACCCCTTAATTGAAAATCATTGACTTTGCAAGTCCTCGAATCCATACCTCATGGCACAGATTCTTTCGAAATTCTTACCCTGCAACTTCGTTTGGCCTCTCATGTTGTTTCCACCTTTCCATATCTGTATTCTTTCTTCTGGGCCTCTGTGCTTTCTTCACAGTTGCCTTGCAAGCTTTTCTTTCTAGATATATAAGATGCCGAAAACAAGGACAAATGTTTCTGGGGATGCATCTGAAAGGCTTGTAGAATCTGACGAGCGGGTGGATCTGGAGGGAGACAATGATCCCGAGGAAACAATAGAAGAGGAGGTTGAGTATGAAGAAGTAGAGGAGGAGGAGGAAGTCGAGGTGGAAGAAGAGGAGGAAGAGGAAGAAGAAGATCCTGAAGAGGAGGGTGAGGAAGAGGATGACAACAAGCGACCTGCTACAAAATCTAATGCACAGAAAAGCTCAGATGGTGATGAAGAGATGATTGTTGCTGATGCGGAGGACGAGGAGGAGAAAAGGAAGCATGTTGAGCTTCTTGCTCGTCCTCCGCATGGGTCAGAGGTGTATCTTGGTGGCATTCCTCATGATGCATCCGAAGTGGATTTGAGGGGATTTTGTGAATCTATTGGGGAAGTGACTGAGGTAAGACATATATTGTTGATTGTAAAGCTCTGCTTGTGTCTTTTACATTTAGGCTCATAGAAATCTATATATGTTCACAGGTTAGAATAATGAAGGGAAAAGATTCTGGTGAGGCCAAAGGCTATGCTTTTGTAACCTTCAGAAACAAAGAATTGGCCTCTAAGGCAATTGAGGAACTGAATAATTCGGAGTTAAAGGTAATCTCAACTCACTTTTGGTCACTTCTTTTCTGCAAACACTGCTTCTGTAAATTATCGACTCAGGTTTGTGGCACTACTAATTTGTGCATCTACTTTCATCCGCACTTCTCCTTTTGAGATAAATTACTTGCTTTCCTTATCTTTAATGGAAATTAGAACTAATGTTTTCATTTATTGCAACACTAACTTTTCTGCTGTCTTCCATTTATAGGGAAAAAGGATTAAATGTTCGACATCTCAAGCAAAGCATCGGTTGTTCATCGGAAATGTTCCAAGAAGTTGGGGAGAGGAAGATATGAAGAAGGCTGTAACAGATATTGGACCAGGAGTCATTTCTGTGGAATTGTTGAAGGTTTGAGATATATTCTTTAATCTTTTGTTTTGCTTCTTGATGATTTTTCTTGTATCTTGATCTAATTCAGTTTTCGGTTGAATCTTCTTTATACAGGACCCACAGAACTCCAGCCGAAATCGGGGATTTGCGTTCATCGAGTATTATAATCATGCCTGTGCAGAATACTCAAGACAAAAGATGTCAACCCCAAAATTTAAGCTTGACACCAATGCTCCAACTGTTAGCTGGGCTGATCCTAGAAATACAGAATCCTCTGCTGCTTCTCAGGTTAGCTGTTGATGCCTTTTTCTACACATCTGCTATTATATATATATATATATGTTTTTCTTCCACAACATTCTATCACGGTTCCTAATTATCTTTCCTGTTTGTGGGAGGTTGCATCTCGTACGCATCTGTCCTCATATCTGAATACTCCATTCCAAGATCTCCACCACATTAGACCTCTGACTTCTATGTGCAACATTACGCGTGTGGACTTGGTTCTCCCTTTGCATTATTACTTGTGGATTTTGCTTGAGTCATGACATCTTTGTTTTGATTGATACAGGTTAGGGCAGTGTATGTCAAGAATTTACCAAAAGACATTACTCAGGATCAGCTGAAGGATCTGTTTGAACATCATGGAAAGATCACAAAGGTGGTTCTCCCACCTGCAAAAGCGGGACAGGAAAAGAGCAGATTTGGTTTTGTGCACTTTGCGGAAAGGGCATGTGCCATGAAGGCATTGAAGAACACTGAAAAATATGAAATTGATGGTAGCTTTCTTATGTTCCTTTACTATTCTCAGTAGTCAAACCAAATTTTCAGTAGAGAATCTTAATTCATAATCTTATGTGTCATAGGTCAAGTTTTGGAGTGTTCTCTTGCAAAACCACAATCAGATCAGAAGTCTTCTGGATCATCAACTCAACAACGGTCAGCCTTACTTCCGACCTACCCACCACGTTTTGGTTATGGCATGGTAGGGGGTAGTCCTTATGGTGGTGGCTTAGGTGCTGGATATGGTGGTCCGGGAATTGCGCAAGTAAGGTTTAAATTATAGTATTATTGTGGCATAAAATAAATAAATAGGGTTAACTGTCTGTTAATCTGATGACACATTGAACATACGGGGAAACTGCATTTGTATATTATAATAAAGTTAGTCACAAATTAAAAGTATCTTTGTTTATGTAACAATTTTGACAACAGCAACTACACGTCTCTCCCGTGAGACAAACTTCAAAAAGGAAAAAATTTGCTCGTTTAATTTCCTACGATGCTTCCTATGTCGATACTCAGTTTATAGCAAACTTTCTCTGGATATGTTTGCTGATATAGGTCTCAATTTCTTGCAGCCACTGATATACGGTAGGGGACCAACTCCTGCTGGCATGGCAATGATGCCTATGCTTTTACCTGACGGAAGGATTGGATATGTCCTGTAAGTATTGTTTCTTTTGGTATTTGTTCGCTGCATGTACCGTCTCATAGTCAATTTACGGGCCTGTACAAATCAGTCTCGTATATATTGCCTGCTGATCTCTTGCATATAGAATTTTACACTTTTTCAAGTTCATATTTGTACTCTGCATCCGAAGTTGAACTTTGCGTTTCTTTCTCTAGGCAACAGCCGGGAGTACAACCACAGATGCCTCCACTGCAATCCCGAGGTGGAAGAAGTGGTGGTGGTGGCAGCTCAAGTGGTGGAAGGCAAAGCGGTGAGAGCAGTCGTGGCCGCATTCGCTACAACCCGTATTAATTTGTGAGTTCTGGCTCTTGTTTCGAGAAAACGGAACGAAGATGGCATCTTGGATTGACAATCAGTACTTTGGGCGTATGAAGGAGTGCACACATTTGTGGTTGTGCAGTTGGTTTTAAGTTACAAAATCAAATGTAGTTTGATTCATGCCGATGCCCGTGTAGTATGCTTAAACTAAAACAAGGTTTAGTTAAACTATGAATTTTGTGCCGTTGAATTTCGTTGCTTTTCCGTACGATTCAAGCTCTTCTTCATCCCGAATTTTGTCGTAAAAATGTAATCTCAGCAGCAGTTATGGAAAAGAAAAAAATCATAGCCGAAAAGTCGGTGTACAAAAGTGCTTTGTGAATAAGTTTCCAAGAAAACTTGGTAAAAACACAGAGAGAAGCTAAAGTTTACGAACTTAGAAAATGAAGCATTTGTACATCATGTCTGAAAATGTTTACATAACTGGAGATTAACTTGCACATTAAGAAGGAAGTTCGGATTTGAATGAGTTTCTTAAGGAGTATGATTGACCCCAATAAGCAACTTGTTACACATAAAACCATCTATACTATTGCACAACATCCAATTGATCGCGCTGTCGCGAATTATTCACTACAACTTTCACCAATTTAAGGTTGAGAAGTCTTGGGGTGCTTCAATCCAAATCTTCTTAAAAGGATCTTGCTCTCCCCAGTCATGGCAATCCTTGCGAGGGTGGTATCTACAAGAGTCGAGAGAGTAGGATATGCAACACCTTCCGTAGAAGCGGACTTTCGAGAAGTAGACACTGTTTCTCATTATTCCAGGGAGGTCGGTTCTTGCATGAGACGACAAGAAACTCGCAAAGAGTGTAACACCATCGAGGGTCGTCATTTCTTCCCAAACCATGTTTGTCTGATCCAGCTTAAATATAATTGGGTTTTCACTTGAACAAGTATATATAACTAGTATGTTTCCCTCATGCTCTGCCATAAACTTACCTTTCCACCAATTTTTGGCAAAAAAGTTCTCTGGGCACTTGGGTGGAGGAACAGCAAGAACACTCCAACTGCGTTCTTCGGGGTTGAATACCCCTAACCAACCGGTGAGGCTCAGACAATAAAAGACTCCGTTGCAGAAAGCAAGCTTGTTCCAGATGCTACTCACAAAGGGCAAGCGGTTTTGGAAATTAACAGTAGTCCACTCTCTTTCCCCAGGACGACAAGTGCTAATAGCAACAACTGTGGGGCTGATGTGTTTCAACGTAAACAGTATGCAGCTGGAAGAAGTTGGGGCACAGGAGAATGCAACTATCTGATAAGTCAACTCGAATCTTGGTACCTTTATTATCTTGCGAGTGAAGGGATTAAAGAAGAACACACGGTGAGATCTGGGTCTGTATAACAGTAGCCAACCGTCTTTAGTGTAGCAAATCCTAGACCCAGTCAGCTCAGGTAACTCCAAGGAGTAGATTTTACGCTGCGATGGATCATAGAATTCATACAGGTCACCAAATCTGGGAAAGTACATAAGCAATGGTGATTGGTTGACCACCCGCACCGAAATGGCAGCTGAGTGCCATCTCTTGCACACAACAGATACACGAATATTATCCCGCAGGGTTAAACGAGACACAATGAGTTCCAAAAGTTCAGCAGGAAGGTAAGACCAAGTTTGCAGCTCCAATTTCTCCCTTTTCTTGCTTGCTTTTCTGTTACTGTTCGTGATTGTTTCAGCTAACCTATACATCATAAATTCCAACACAAATATGAGCTGAGTATGCTATAACGAAACGCAAAAGGAAAAATAATTATTTCCATGAAATTAAGACGCAGATAGGAATAAATCAACATCATCCGCATATTTAAATTCCTTTCTATTATCAATCCAAATTCTTTAGCATGTAACCGCCAACCCAAATGCCAAACGCAACCCTTCCCCAAAACAGCCACACCCACCCCAAAACAAAAAAGCATATAAGTCATTTCGGAAATACTAAAGGTTGGACTGTTTCGATAACATATGATTCAGGTTAAAACTACTAAAGAGAAACACACAAGAAGTCAATAGTTGTACTGAACTGTACGAATCTGACAAATAAACACACAATCCCCACAACTGACAAGAGAAAAACCTGGTTGTCACTAGTCAACTATCATATTCATTTCCAGCATATTCATTTCCAGCTAACATAAAGGATCGTATGAATCCGTTAAATAAACACAATCCCCACAACCGACAAGAAAAAAACCTGGTTGTAACTAATTAACTACCATATTCATTTCTGGGTAACGTACTGGATGGTACGAGTCCAACCAATAAACATAATTCCCAAAACCAACAAGAGAAAAACCTGGTTGTAACTAATCAACTATCACATTCTTTTCAGGTAACATACAACGTGCGAATCCGACAAGCGAACACACAATCCCCACGACCGACAAGAGATAATCCTGGTTGTAACTAATCAACTATCATATTCTTTTACCCTATTTTTTTGGGTAACGTACAAGATCGTACTGGTACTTTTGCTTAAGCAGGATAGGCAAACAAGTAATTAATGAACCACTAAAAACCCTTTCCTTGGATGCCCAAATTTATCAAAAAATTAAAATGAGCACAACATGAAACCGAAAACCATGAAATTGCTTAGAATTCAATCAATTTAACATTTTTCCATAATTAAAGCCTACCCTTTGTTTCTTGATATTACCACATTCCTAAAAGACCCTATGACCTAACAATGGCTGGCGTTTTAACAAATTTAACAGCCGAGTCGAAATTTTCAATTGTGACTCTTGAATCCAATTTTAAACAAATTCAACCTAATTTTTATCCTAAATCAATTTGACATTCTATTAAAAAACACACGTAACCCCATCTTCACCAAGACCCCAAATTCACAATCTTGCCAGACATAAACCCTACTCCAAAAACCCATCAAAATTCTCACAATTGACATCAATTTTCATTAATTAAACCTAATTGTTGACTTAAATACATTTGGGTTTCAACCATAAAACCTAAATTGATCCAATTCCTAAAATCCTCACAATCATTTCCAAAATCCAAAGTGAAAGAACAAAGAAATGAAACATGCAAATTACGAAATGCTTTCACTGAGAAATATAGAATTGAGAATTCAAATCTTACGATTTCAGCTTCCTCTTTCTTCCGCCCATGGCGAGAACCCAATGTCACTGCCGTTTAGAGAGAGAGAGAGAGAGAGAGAGACGCAGGGAGTGAGAGGAGAGAGAGTTTGGGGGAGGAGGGATGTGAGTTATATTATTACCACTCTCGGCACCACTTGCATAGAAAACAACACGTGTGAGCTGGTCGGTCAAGCTGAATCGGGTGCACGCGTCTCCAACGTTTTACAGTGGCTACCACGAATCACCAAGCGACAACATATAAAATATTTTTAATTTATATAATGTGGCAGGTTTTTATTGTTTGCAGCTCGTGAGGTAATTTGGAGGATTTCTCAGGTGAAAGAACCGCAGTACAATCAGTGGAATCGGATGCCGTCTTGTTACCGTGTCTGTGTGAGTGAGTGTGCCGTTCGTTTTTGTATGGGCGCTGTTGATTGTCAGAATTACTGTACTACACAACAAACTGACTACAACCGTTTCGCATGGAGGGCGGCCGTCCTAATCTGTGTCTTAAACTCTTTCATTCTACTTGAATAGTTACGATTAAATCACGTCGATATTTTATATTGATTTTTTTTATAAAGACAAAAAGCAAATTATGAGAAGAGAAAAGAAAAGGGAATAGGAATAAGAAGAAAAAGAATCCTAATCTATTTTTCATGTAAAAATATAACCGACACTATTCTTGGGCGCGCGGAAATATCTTGTCAGTGAAAATTTGAGTTAAGCTACGTAATAAAGTAGTCTTATTTGAGCAATGTAAAATCATAGTTCGAACAATTGATTTTGAAGTTATCATATTCGGTTAAAAATTCATCAAAGTCAAAAATCACGTCATTAATTTGACCACGTTCGGGTATTCCTCTTTACTTATAAATCTTACGATTGAATCTCGTAGATAGCAAGTTTGAAACCAACCTGCCAACCCCATATTGTAAATTTTCCTTGCATAAAATTAAAAAATTCATTTGATTATTGTTGTGAATATTTTTCATTATTTATAGATTAATTACTATGTTTGTCTATTTATAAAATAAAAATTAATAACTGAACTATTTTTCAATTTGATCAAAATTTTTGTAGGATATGTTACGAAGTGGGCCAAATTTAGTTATTATTGAAGCAAAATTGACTAAATTTTGACTAATATTGATAAGATTGTGGTAGGCCTATTTAACTGAGAAATTATTCAAAGGGAGAGAGGGGAGGGGTGCGGCGGCAAGGAGAGAGAGAATTGGGTTAGTTTGAGGTGTATTCTAAAGTGTGTTATCTCACCTCATTGTACCTTTATTTATAATAGTAGAAAGGTAAATTGTCGTAGCTTCTTGTTGTAGCTATTATTGTTGCTCCTTTAGCTTCTTGTTGTAGCTATTATTGTTGCTCCTTGGGTTCTTACCGTTGTTGCTAGTACAATTGATCGAGAAGTTTATAGCTTTGTACGTCTTGGCAATAAAGAAGAAATAAAGGTAACTAATTTTTTTTTTAAAGAAACGTTAACTTCGTTTAATCGCGTCGAAAATCCATGATTAATCTGTATACTAAATTGTAGGGTTATGGATTCAACCTGCAACATTCAGTGGCGAAGCTACGAGAGGGCGAGGAGTGGCCGCCGCCCCTCCCCACGTCGGAAATCAAGCCCAGGAGCGGTGGTTCCGCCCCTTTGGTCTCATCGGAAGTGATGAAATTTCGTGTGGTTTTCTGGCGCTTTGAGTTTCCCTGCTCTATCGCACCATAGGCTGATCGCGAGCTCTCTTTTTTCCAAAAAAGGAAATACCTAGGCCAAAGAAAGGAGGAACAAAGATCTGCATTTTGCAGCTTCTGCAAATGGAGAGGTTTTGATGGAGAAGAAGAGAAAGGAAGAAGAGAGAGACTTTCTCTCTCTCCCATACCACCCCACGTGCAATTACAATTTGTTTTTTTGTTTTTTTTTTAAACTAGTGGCCAATCAATTTGTGCCACCTAACTTGCTATTACTTATTTATATTGGAATTTGTTTGTTTTTTAATTATTGTCCAATTAATTTGATCACTCTTCCAATATTTTTTAAGCCACTTATTTAACACTGTTATTTATCTTAAAATTCACTATAAATTTATATGAG